ATTAGTGCTGAGCTTGTGCCATTTGAGCCGACCTTAGTTTATCGAATTAATAGGTAGTGTATATATCGATCATTTTAAAAATACTAAATTATCACTCGTGCGATGCACGGGACAAAAGGTAATCAAATTGTGTAAAGTACATCAACGATCAAGAATAGCATAAAAAAGGATAAAAATTATAATAATTATGAGAAAAAATAATACTAATATAATAATAGGTTGGACCACATGATTTAATTGAAGAAACTTGTTCTGCAATTATTTAATTGACAATGATGCAGCAGGGATAGCATAAAAGGCGTTATTAGGTTGGACCACAATCTTTTGGCTAGGACTTAGGAGGTACAGTGTAGCCTATCTACCTATGGGATTTGAGCCCAAGAGCCAAATTAATAAATGTAATTTTTATAAGAAAATATATGACGTAAATGTGCTATAGTTTCATAATTGGACAACAGATTAGAAAGTGAATACAATGAAATATACAAATAGAGGGCAAGGCAGACCATGTACATGTTAGTGCTAGAATCTGGTATGAGCTTGTTGGCCGGAGGGAGTATTACGCCCTTTCTAGCATAATTTTGGTAGGTTTAGTGTTATCTTTATTTCTAAAATAGCTTTCAGGATTACGTTCACTTCATTTGATGATAGTCTAGTAAATTTGAATCAACTTGTTTGAATAAAGATCTCCATTAATTTGCTTTGAATGTTATTGGGAGAAAAAATATTTCTCTTTACATCACGATCTTTGAACTCTTTCAACAGGAATGTTGAAAGATGGAATCATCAAAATCTACCATATCGTGAATATATGCCTTTAAACTGGCAAGTAATGATCATTTTTCTGCTCTGGTAAGCGTCTTGAGGATATATACACATCACATTTCTACTAATCAAAGCCAACAAATAAATGAGCCCTCCCACACATTTGGAACCATATGCTCTCCTACTTAAATAAGCAAGTTTCTTTGTGTCTGTATTAAGTTGTCTTGCTTGTCTAGAATTTTGGAGTGCCATATTAATGAATGCAAGATGGATCTTGGTAACTGCTATTATTCACAATTTTCGGCTAGTTGATTCCATCCCCTCATTCCCAACAAACCCAATGTGTATTTGGTTTGCTAATTTGTTGTGCATTTCTCTTTTTTTTCAATGAAGGAAAAGTTGAAGAAGATTGCATTAAGTTCTTGACTTGAATGTTTAGCTGTGTAACACCTGTTGGCTCAGAGAAAGTCTAGTTGCAGATTTCTGAAGTTAAGGGGGTCATTATCATCATTATCATTACCTCAGTGCCCCAACGGCTCCCACCCCTGTACTAAAGCATTGAGAGTCTGTTTCAGGATGACCCATAATGAAAATCGCGTCGGAATTTGCATGGACTGACTACTACTTTACAACAAAGAAGCCCAGACAATTTAGTGAGCCAATTTGCTTTATTCCATCGTCTTCCCAAGCAAAAAAAAAATAGTGAGTCTTTGGCCCTATTGCAAATGACGGAATTAAATTGAAATTAAGGGGGTATACTTCGAAAATTCTAAACTACCCATACTTTCAACTCTCAAGTCCACTACTATCTCAAAACAATTACGCAGTATTTATTACCATGGAAAGAGGGTTAAATTTCAATGCAATTTGGTTTTGACTCTGATCCTTTTTTGTTTGGGCATTGTCCTAATGGTATAAGCAGAATATCATATTGTCATAGCTTGCATTATCTTGGTTCAATGTTCAATCACCTTGAACATTGCCCTACATTTGCCCGATGATTGTTTGTTGTAATCTTATTGTAATATATGATAAAATTAATACTACCGTATAAGGTGAAAGAAAATGATAAAAACTATTGAAAGAGAACGAGTTGGCAGCAGGATAAACTCCTTACTATATTACATCATACGAGTGCTGGAGTGCATGTATATATATGCACAATTCAAGGGAAATGAGTCAGCAATTATTGAGTACGGGAATGCTACACATGCATGTGCCATGCATCTTCCTAATCTAAATAACAGAGGCGTACAACATATATATGACTAATACAATATATAAATAATAATGATAAATAATTCTCAATAATATATGCTCCACATTCTCAAATTTTTACCATGGCACTAGTATTAAACTATGACGTGCTCAAATTCTTCCCTAAAATTTTTATTCAAAATCATCATAATACAGTTGGAAGTGAGTTTTATTATTCTTGTATTTAGTGATTACACCTTTTGTTTGGCATAAGTCTTGACAAGGCTTGCTCAACATATGTCAAAGCACAATTTAATGAACTTGATGTGCAAGGGAGGGTTAAGGAAGGATTTAACCATTTTCCATTTGTTATCATCTAGCTACTTACATTGATAAGAATTCTGCAAAATTTTATTGACCTAACACAACATAACTAATCCTGTATGTGAAATCAGGCATATGCATATGTGAGGGGTATGTCCACCTCTATGATATTGATGGCCCTTGTTTATCATTCAACAACGGAATGACACATCATTTGGTTGAGGCAATGTATACATGATTGCGTTAATCGCTTATTGTTTTGTGGTGTATTCTATTAACTACTCTCTCCAACCCCTAAGTTTAGGGATGGACTGGGATGGAAAGTCCCGACCGGAGACCCTGTCCGGCCCGGTACGGTGCAGACCTGACCCGGCCCGCCTAGTCGTCACAGGGGCCCGAACCAGGAGGAATATTGGCGGGCTCCGGGATGCTTAAATGGTGGACCGGACTGGCCAACTCGGGACCGGTCCGGGCCCATGCTTTTTTGTTTTTCCCATTGATTGGTTGCTAGTTAGGTTGGGGCGTTGGGCTGGGTGGTTTAGGGGGGCGGCTTGGAGAGTTGGGGGTGGGGGTAGAAATGAATTCGAAAAGTCAATTGTTTTTTTAAAAAAGAATTGTGACAGGCCTGAACTGGGCCTAGCCCAGCCCGTTACAAACCCAGGCCGGTACCAGGCTTGCAACCCAAAACCTTAGTCCCGCCCAATCCCGTCTCGGGTGTCCCACACATTCCTAAGTTTGTGATTGCTATTGAATTGGTAAAATGAAAAAATAGTATAAATAAAAAAAAATAAAAACCTCATAGTCATCAACAAATTTAGTACATGACAATCTTAATGTGACTGATTCTATGTTTATTCTCAGGGCTCACAATCGGATCTGTCATAATTGACTAGGTGTTTTCTTGTGTTTTTTCTCGATTTTAATATTGATAGAGTATTGATCTAGAAGGGGGGACTAGAGAGAGAAAGTGAGTAATTAATATTTCTCAACCCCTATAAATTACCTCTAGATGACTTTTTATAGGGAAAATATGGATTTGGGCTCTCAAGCCTTGGGCTTAGGAGGCCCATTACAATAATAAGATCTCTAATGAGCTGAGTACTTGATTTATTTGACTAAGTATAAAATCTCATTCTACCAGAGTATTTCTAGCCGACGGGTGACCAGGTCAATAGAGTGCCTGGTCGACGGAGGATCAATTTCGCTCCTGGGCTCGAGGCTATATTCTGAGTACTTATGTAGTTATGTGTTGGCCAATGGAATGCCATCTGGCCGACGAAGTGCCACGTGGGTGCCAGTCTTCTGTGTTTAATCCCTTGAGTATGTGTGTCATGAGGTCCAAACTCATATACTCTATCAAATATAAAAGTTGATCCTTTATAATAATAAAAAAAATAACTTTAGTCAACACAACCATAAAATTAACTTCAACCATACTTTTTCTTATTATCGAGTATTACACAATTCAGCGCGTGAAATCAAAAGTTACGTGTTTGGTGAAAAATTGGGTGATAAGTCTGATTAGCCAGAAAAATAGGGCTACCAAACGTGCTTTTAGTGAGATTTGATTCGGTTTGGATTTGTTGTGTCCCTATGATGCATAGATACGTCACATCGATGCCGTATCCGCGTATCCGATACGTATCCAATATCAATACTCACCAATAGCGTTCTGTACGTATCAGGTTTGTATCCGTAATTTCACAAAAGTATTGAACTTATTTTTAAAAATATAAATACTTTCGATACAAGTATCTGTGAACACATACACATGTATCTAACCCAGTAAGCCTACGATCTAACGAGAATATAGTACCCGCCCAAATATGATTAGACTCGGGCCGGTTTGGGCCCAGGACGGGCCTAGGCCCAGTCGGGCCGGCAATTCTGGATTGGGGGGCCCGGGACCGGCCCGGGTAATCCCCGGGTCCGGGCCGGGCCTCGGGTATTTGTATTTTTTTTCCTTTTCCTAGTTACCCCTCACCCCCAACCCACCCCAAATGGCCCAAAATACCCAACCCAACCCGAAAAGTAAAAAAAAAAAATTGAAAAAAAAAAAATTAAAACGGCCTAAAATCGGGCCCGTCCCGGTCGGTCCGGTTCGCCATTTGAAGGTCCCGAGCCCGGACCAGAGCCCCCGCGGGTCGGGCCTACCCAGACCGGTCACTGACCGGGCCAGGCCGGGTCAAAACAGTGCCAGTTCTGGGTCAGGCCACCCGGCCCGAGTCCAGGCCTACGCCCAAACGACCACAAGATGTGCAATATTGGGTAAGATGATTTCATGAGTATCTAAGATATTAAAATGCTTGAAATTGTCAATCTATCACTTGATGAACTTTAATTGAACTTTAATTGAACGGTCTTGTTAAATTAAATGCACATGTGAATCAAATATTGTTTGAATTTAAATCAAAATATCAATAGTTGTTTTATTATTAGTCTAATCTTTGAAATGTTATTACAATTGTTAATATTTTGTACTATTATTATTATCATTATTATTATTATTATTATTATTATTATCATTATTTTATTATGAATCTTTGAACTGTATATATTTGCAAATAATACTCTATATTATTGTTATTTATAAATATACCCCATAAGTGCCCGTGTCCTATAGCTTTTGAAGTTGCCATATTGTTGTATCCGTATTCGCGTATTGGCATATCAGCTTACCCGTACCCGTGTAACATAAGTGTTTTCCCAAAACTCACAAAAATAAAATAAAGCAAATTTAAAGAACATTCAGCTCCCTGTGAGGAGCCAAACGAACCTCGTTAAAATACATAAACATGACTAGGACAGTATGATGTATACATTTTTGTTATTGAATAATCACATCAACAACAAAAAAAACACATTATAAGTAGCCATTATTGTTAGCACATGATGAAGCTAGCAAGCCAAAGATGAACGCAACAGAGATAGATAGGTCAAGATTAAGATTTGGAATTGGGATGGCAGTATAGTATATTCTCCAATAATGGCCTGTGTTGATTCAAGAAAGTGAAGGGGTTAGTTGCAATAAATGAATCCCCAGATTTTGTTAGTTTCCCCCTGTGTGATTTCATTGTCTGGATTTAAATTATGATTTATCAATCAAATCTTGAAGTGGGGTCGAAAGGGTGTGGAATTCAATCTCCAATCAAATCACCAAAAGGGAAATCGTATGAGCATCAGCTAAACTTGGTTGGTGAGTTAGTCATTCTTCTCAAATTCTCTTATTCTCCTTTATATTTTATTTTACTATTTAATACTTATACAATTATTATATCTACTTATATATTAATTATCTACTTGTATATTATTATCTACATATACTATATTACTTATATTTCTTATCTACTTAATCTCTACTTATATCTCTTAATACATACATACATACTATATCTACTTAATATATACTTTATATAATAAAGTATTAAATATACTTTATAAACTATTACTATATACTTAATACATAATAATATCTACTTCTCTACTTATATTTTATATATACTTATTTTCCAATCTCCAATTCTCCATTATACTCTAATATTTAATTCTTATACAATTATTATATCCACTTAATACATACATTCTACATCTACTTAATATATATTTTGTATATTAAAGTATAAAATATAAGTGTATTACTCATCTTATAGTAGTATACTTATATATTATATAATATAAACATTATATTATATATTACTTACTATAACTAGTATTATACTAGTTAATTAGTTAATTATCATTCTTGTTACATTTTTCATTATACTAGTTAATTAGTTCATTACCATTCTTGTAACATTTTTCATTATACTAGTTAATTAGTTAATTAGCATTCTTGTTACATTTTTCATTATACTAGTTAATTAGTTCATTACCATTCTTGTTACATTTTTCATTATACTAATTAAAATACTTCACATTTTATTTAACTAGTTGTTAGTTTGTTACATTTGTCACTATACTAGTTAACTACTTAATTAGCATTGTTGTTACATTTTTACTTGTACTAGTTATTTACTTCAAAAGTTGCTATAATTTTAATTGTAGAGACACACATTAATTCTACTTTGCAAAAAATTAGTTTGAAGTATTAATTAAAATAGTTTTAATTAGTTGCATTAGTTTTGTATCCATTATTATATTTGTTGTGAATTAATATTTGTTACATTTTTTAGATGGAAGGTGGTAGATATTCGGTTGATTTGGGTAACCTCCAACGCAATCGAAGAAACGAGATTGGGAGGAAGAAATCCCGCAAAGGTAAAGAACTTGCCGGGTCTTCATCTCAAAGCCGAGATGATTTTGAAACGGGTTACCAAAGGCGAGATGGAGATGCGATGTCCGAAGAACAACTCCAACAAGAATTGGCCCGACATAATAACCGCTTTCTACAACAACAACTAATGCCGACGACCATTGACGAAGAGGAGCTTGAGGATGAAGATGCGGAGGAATTGGAACCGGAGACGGCCGAGGAGGAGGGTGCCGGCAGCCACGACGCCGACGCGCCTGCCTCATCCCAAACCGCCACCGGTAATAAAAAAAGTAAGTCTGAACTAATGAAAAATAATTTTGATAAATGGAAGGACCCACAAACCGGCTATTGGCACGCAACTTGCAAGTGGTGCAACAACAATTATAGTTTGGGAACCTCCGGCGGATACGGATACGCCGCAAGGCATCTTAAGGCAAAGCACCCCGTGGAGTATGCAAAATTAGGCGGCGGAACGGGGAAGCAAACTCAAATATCGAGGTTTGCGAATTCTCAACCTTTTGGTAATTTCTCCTACAATGATGCACAAAATTTGACTGGTATGGCTAACTTAATTTGTGAAGAAAATTTGCCTTATTTGTTTTTTGAAAGTCTTGCTTTAAGAGATTATGCACAAGGTAGTTTAAATCATCAATTTAGAAATTATAGTCGCAAAACTGTTAAGAAAGAAATAATAAGGCTTTATAATGCGGAAAAGGTAAGGTTACAAAATTTTTTTGCAAACTTTGATGGGCGTGTTACTATTTGTTCTGACATATGGGAGGATGATTTTCATCATTTATATTATTTGGGTCTGACTGCACATTATATTGATGAGGATTGGAATATGCATAAACGTGTTCTTGCTTTTCGTGAATTTAATGATCGTCACACCGCTGAACATATTTATATTTTGATTGAGCGTATTTTAATTGAGTATAATTTGATTGATAAGGTGTTTGCTATTGGTTTCGATAATGCTACTAATAATACTGCTGCTATACCTAGATTGCGTGAGTTGTGTGGTGCCAATTCTTTGGTGGGTAGATTTTTTTCATCAACGGTGTGCATGTCATGTTATAAATTTATGTGTGCAAGACGGTTTAAAAGCGTTAGGAGATTCCATGGAGGTAATAAAGGGGGGGGTTAGACGTATTTGGGGTAATGGTCAACTTAGATTAAAATGGCAAAGTTATTTGACTGAAAGAGGTGTGAGATATGTTGCTTTTCCTAAAGATTTGAGTATTCGTTGGAATAGTACTTATAAATTACTTAAAGTTGTTCTTAGATATAAAGAACATTTTCCTGCTTTTTTAAAAGAACATGATAACTATATTATAAACGCGGCTGAGATCGACACTTGCGAAAAAATTTGTAATGTTTTGATATATTTTTTTAATGCTACTGAAACTTTTAGTCATGTTTATAAACCTACCGCAAACCAATTTATTCCACAAGCTGTTAATCTCGCCGATGCTTTTAAAGAATTTCAAAATGCCGTTTTCGTTCATTATTTTTGTGATCATATGAAGGAAAAGTTTTTAAAATATTATGCGCATATTCCTCATATTTATGGTATTGCATTTATTCTCGATCCTTGTTATAGACTTGCTAATTTGGAAGATTGTTTCAACTTCTATTATCTTGCGTTTTTCGGTGAATTTCCAATGTATGACGATAACCCCATAGATCCGAAAACGGAATACAACGAGGTTAGTACTTTATTTTATGCCTTATTTAATGAATTTTGTGCACAATATAGCAACGCTCCCCCTCCCCCGTCACGAACATCTTCATCTAAAGGAAAATCGATTTTTAAATCTGCATTTGGCAATCTTATGAAAAAAACTAAAACAACTCACGTCACTGAACAAAGCGCATTGAATGAGATTACTTTGTATTTAACATATGAAGTTGATTTTGAAGAAAATGATGACTTTGACGTTCTAGACTGGTGGAAGTCAAAAGAAAGAACGTTCCCGATTTTAGCACGGATGGCTAAGCAAGTACTATCAATGCCGGTTTCAATAGTTGCTATGGAACAAGAATTTAGTTCGGCCGGCAACGTCCTAACGGCATCTAGATCGAGATTGAGCGCGGAGTCTCTTGAGACGCTTATATGCTACCACGATTGGTTGAAGGCCGCACGTAGAACTCAAGAATTGAGCATCACCCCCTCCCAAGATTTTATGGATGACTCAACAACCGATGATGGCTCTACCTATGCCGGAGATTCCGATTGATTAGTATTTTAGAATTTATTACAAAATGTATTTTATAGCACTTGTCAAATTTATTTATACTTGTACTTCATATTTCAAAATTGTAAACTTGTACTTCATATTTCAAAATTGTAAATTTGTAGTTGTAGTTCAAATTAATTTGTAAACTTGTACTTCATATTTCAAATAAATATGTGTTCACTTTTTCATATGTAGCACTTCTCAAATTAATTAATTGGTTACAATCTAACGACTTAAGATTATTTTTCTAAAATATAAAGCCGGTTTTTAAATTAAAAATACATTTAGAATATGTAATTTGTTTAAATACTTATACACCTATTTTGTAACATTTGTAAATTATAAATCAAACCACTTTTCTAAGTACAAATAGTTTTAGTTTTACTTAATTCATTAAATTAATTAATTTATTTTACAATATGTGTATAACTTAAAAAAAAAAAAAATTCAAAGCTCCCAAACGGCTATATGGCCGTTGGGGCTATGGGTGGGGGGCAGGGGGGTCCCGGGGGTGGTGGTGTGGGGAGTGGGGTTCAAAAACATCTATGAATACATCTATTTTCTAACATTTTTCTACACCTTTTCTCCAATTCTTCTCAAACTCTTCTCCATCTTCATCTTCTCTTATTATCCTACATTCCTACTTATACATATACCATTTTAAATATGGAAAGTACATCTTCCCTTATGCAAAACAATTTTGACAAGTGGAAGGACCCGAAGACCGGACTGTGGTGGGCAACTTGCAGGTGGTGCAAGAAAGACTGTTGCTTGGGGCGTTCATACGGATACGGGATGCCAATAAAACATATGAAGACCTGTGACAAAGGGAAAACAACAACCAACGGTGGCGGAAATCCCAATTGATATTCATTACAAAATGTATTTCGTATTGTTATTTTTTTCTCAATTCTCAAATGTAGTTCTTATTTCAAATAAATGCACTTGAACTTTGTTTTTAATAGCAATTTGTTTAATATATAATTAATAAAAAAAAAATTGTACTGGCCCGGCCCGGCCCGGCGGGTGGCCCGAACCGTGACCCGGGCGGGTGGCCCGGCCCGAACCGGAACCGGTCATTGACCGGGCCGGTCCCAGGCCTACCGTTATAGGACCCGAGGCCCGACCGGGCCTTGACCCAGCCCGGGTCCATCACTAGAGAAGATGAATATGGAGAATTGGAGATGAGTAGAGAGTAGGATTTAGGTAGAGTTGGAGAAGAGGTGTGAAAAAATGTTTAAAATTAGGAGTATTTATAGGTTTTTTTTTAACCCCCACCCCCCCCCCCCCCCCCCCACCCAAAGCCCCCTGACCCCCCCCCCCCCCTGGTACCACCCAACGGCTATATAGCCGTTTGGGGTGGCCGTTGAGCCAAAAGAAGCAAAAAAAAAAAAAAAAAAAAAAAAAAAAAAAAAAAAAATTGGACCGTTAGGCCCGGGGCCGGGCCCGACCCGGCCGGGCCTCCAAAACCAGGACCCGAGCCCGGTCCCGCTAACCCGACCGGGTCTCTGCCCGAACCGGGCCGGTTCCGGGCCCGCACAGTGGCGGGCCGGGCCGGTCCCGGGCCGGGCGGCCCGAACCGGGTCCACGCCTACTTAGTGTGTTGAAATATAAGGGCACTATTTACACTAATAGTCCATTTGCTCTATTCAAGTTTTGAATATATGAATAATGATCAAGTTTAGAAGGAGAAACTAAACAATACGAACAATAACTTGACTACTTTATATATTAAAGACAGTGATATATTATTTTAGATGTCAGTAAAAACTAAGAATTTGTTTGATAACCTCTATTTTCGAATTATTTACCTTAATTACTCCGTATCATTTTTATCAAATATGTGATTTTTGTATTTGTTTGCTAAAGTGTGATAATCGGAATATATAAGATCATTGAAGTCACTTTAATGGCTGAATTGACTAAAATTACTGTAAAAGATCGTTTTAATTACTTTTTCTTATAATTTTTTCTTTTTTGTAATAGTAAAATATACTCCGTATTAAATATAATTTTTTATAGTTCAATCGATCGTTACTTTTACCAAAATTTCATTAATTTCAACAAATTCGATCAATTTAGCTAATCCTAGTGCTTCCTCATAGCGTAAAGTAGTAAAATAAAATTGTGTCATCCAAAACTTTTCTGTTTTAATATTAGTTTGAAAGATGATAGCTACACACAATGTTTTGCATACACTTTTATAGAGACAATCCACCACCTCAATACTCGTGTCATTTGTAGTTCAGGTGATAAATTAGGGACTTGGGCAGTATTATAATTATACTCAATTATTACATCATACTCACTATAAAGCTTACACATACTAAGGATGTTTTCTGGAATTTGCTAGTTTGGTCTGGTCTGTTTAAGTCTGGTCTGATCTAGTCTGAACTGGTCTGGTATGGTCTGGAAAACATCCTAACTTATAGTCACATTTTTTTCTACAATTTTTTCATTACTAATATTTTAGAAGGAACCCCTTTTATTAATAGAATTAAGAAAAAAATTATGCGAACAAATAGTTAAAATAGTCCTCTGTTAAGATCTGGGGTTCCATCCTAAAAGGTCAACCTTTTAGGAGGAGTAGCCCAGAGCTTAATATAGCACTTGTTTCATCGATACTTTTTCCGGTGTGGGACATTTAACACCCCTCACGACCAGATCGTGCCGTCATTCATTTTTTCATCGGTTCATCCTTGAAATGTTTAGAGAACTTTATTAAGGCTTCCAACATTGAAACAAAAATTGAAACATTTTTCAACTTTTTTGGGAAAAATGTTGAAACATTTTTTCATCGGTTCAACTTTTCCTTCACTCAAACAAAAAAAAAAGAGAAATGCACAACAAATTAGCAAACCAAATACACAAAATGATTGTTGGGAATGAGGGATGGAATCAACTAGCCGAAAATTGTGAACAGCAGAGTCTAAACTAATTATAAACATCTCTCTGAATATTAAGGCATCATGATTCACGAATACTCACCACAAAATCTCCTTTAAAACTGAAGCAGCCATTATCAAGTTGTAGAGTGGTAGGAACACTAGTTCCTACATCAACATAAATGCAATGTGGTTGGTAAGCATTTGAGTGCGCGCGCATGCCACATGCGCGTTTGGGACTAAAGTGACCATCAATGATCAAAGCAATTTACATTATAGGAGGCCGGATCACCAGGATGCATGGCCTTAATGGCCATTTGTGAAATAAAATTGCACTTCTAATTAATGTTTTGACTTACCCACTAGAGGCACTCCTGAATCAGAGCTTATTATTGATTCTGCACTCTGGATCCATACAATCAGTCAATCATGTAGAAAATACACCATTCTGCATCATAGAAAATACACCACTGACAATTTGGGCAGTCTGATAGTTGACAATTCATAGAAAGGTTTATTATTTCAAGAGAGATTCAACATGCATCGTTGATGGTAAACCTTTCTGGTTTGTGCAGAGATGGTAACAGCCACTCTATAAAATAAGTAGGTCGGCTTTTATTCTTGCAATTATCATCTACGCCTTAAAATTAGAACACTATAAGATTCATTTTTCAACAGTAACAATGGAAATAGGCAAAACAAGAAAAATTTACATGCCAAATATTTTTAAGCAAACCTGAAGTGTACACAAGCATTCTGTGAGAAACAAAGGACTGCAACAGTAAGGTATGCCTGTTAGCTTTAGTTCCGTACAAAACCAATTGATGCCAAGTAAAGAAACATGTCCAAAAGCTATAAGAGTGAATGCCTGTTTGGGACTCCACCATAATTTGTAAAAGTGTGTGTAGGATTATTTAAAAAGTGGGGGGATACTGTAGCAGTAATATACTCTATAACTATGTATCATGGCTTCTTTTTTAGGTAGGTTTTTTCCATACACGAAAATGAGGCCAAAAGAAACAGGACAAGTATTTTGGAAAGGAGGGAGTATTATACACTACGTAGTTTATTAGCAGTTCCATGCACAACATGAGCATGTAATGCAAAGTTCATTTTTTATGTAATTTAGGAGAAATATTTTGTTTCGGGGTAACTCCAAGTTAATAATAGCAGTTACCAAGATCCACCCTGCATTCATTAATATGGCACTCCAAAATTCTAGACAAGCAAGACAACTTAATACAGACACAAAGAAACTTGCTTATTTAAGTAGGAGAGCATATGGTTCCAAATGTGTGGGATGGCTCATTTATCTGTTGGCTTTGATTAGCTAGCACAATGGTCAAAAGAACTGAACATTATAATATCTTATTAAGGAGAAATGTGATGTGTATATATCCTCAAGACGCTTACCAGAGCAGAAAAATGATCATTACCTGCCAGACTAAAGGCATATATTCACGATATGGTAGATTTTGATTATTCCATCTTTCAACATTCCTGTTAAAAGAGTTCAAAGATCGTAATGTAAAGAGAAATATTTTTTCTCCCAAGTAACATTCAAAGCAAATTAATGGAGATCTTGATTCAAACAAGTTGTAAATGCATGTCTGAATTTACTAGACTATCATCAAATGAAGCGAATGTAATCCTGAAAGCTATTTTAGAAATAAAAATAACACTAAACCTACCAAAATTATGCTAGAAAGGGTGTAATACTCCCTCTGGCAAATAAGCTCATACCAGATTCTAGCACTAACATGTACATGGTCTGCCTTGCCCTCTATTTGTATATTTCATTGTATTCACTTTCTAATCTATTGTCCAATTATGGAACTACAGCACATTTACGACATATATTTTCTTATAAAAATTACATTTATTAAATTGGCTCTTGGGCTCAAATCCTAAGTCCTAGCCAAAAGATTGTGGTCCAACCTAATAATGCCTTTTATGCTATCCCTGCTGCATCATTGTCAATTAAATAATTGCAGAACAAGTTTCTTCCATTAAATCATGTGACTTATCTTGGTTTCTATTACACATATGAATAACTAACCTTGCATCCTTATGAACTACGTAGCAATATAATAAATATACATATACTTCTGAACCCAACTAATATCACTCTACATAAAAATCATTGATGATGCAGATTTTAAATCAATAGTTCAAAGGTTTGCCATCTTTACAAAATTAATTTAAGCAAGAAAAAACGTGTGTCCTCTTAAGTCCTACACTCCTACCTTACTACTTCATTTGATGTATACTTATCCTCCATATTCACTGTTTTGGTACATAGGACAAGCATTGGATGAGCCAGAAGAATCTTTTGAATTGCTTGAACCACAGCTTCTGATACTCCTTGAAGAGAGAGACTTTTTCTGAGTTAATATAAAAACATAATTGCAAAATCATCAAAGATAAAATCTATATAGAAACAAAAAGTGAAATGTAGAATTACAATATAAGATAAAGTAATGCAGTAGTGGCAACATTAATATAGAAATGAGTTCCACCATGTAGCATCTGCATTCTAAATAGAGCATATCACAGGAAAAAGTTCCACATGACTTCAAGAAGCTTTAGGATACATCACTTTGGCAAGATGATTACATGAATGGGAAACTTTTTCATTTAGGTATTCAACCTACAGAGCGAGAACTTAGGTCATGGATTTATTCAATTAAATACTTCAGGAATTCATGTGGGTTACAGGTTACTCAAGCTTCACTATGTAATGACAGTAAAAAACAGCCATTGAGAAAATATGGAAGGAAAGATAATTAATGTTTATGATATTCATTCTCTCTTCATTATTGCTTTGCCACTATGGTTTTGCATGAATTAGTTAGTGTTAATTTATTTAGACAAATTACTAGCACATAAAGTTAATGCCACCGGCCCAACCTAGTTGGGATTAAGATTCTGATAATGATGATTTGCTTACTGAGAAGCAAGATTTGAAAGTATGACATTATAGCCAGATAACTCGGTGCTTCACTGCCACAAAACACATAACTGCGATTACAAAAGCAGTGTTTTACTAAGTCCCTGATCCACTAACAAAGGCATTTGGAAGCATGACACGGTTATTATAGCTATCCGCATATTATTCTATGAGCACCCTTGGGTGATAATGGTGGTTTTAGGGGGCGGGGTAATTTACACGAGTCAAAATCCAAGTTCTATTGTAATTACCTGTTGCTGCTCCCATGTGGAATGAATGCAAGAGCCCGATCCATCCAGTGAAAAGCTCCAATACTGATTTAAAAAGCGTTGAGACATACATTATTAAACTGGCCACCTTCATCCTCATACTACCTAGTTAAAATTCCAAAGTGGTAGAGAGAAACAGACATATGGTGCCTATTCGTTAATTCTTATGATACTTTGGGATGTTGAGGACATATATAGTGGGTTGAAACTTAGAGAGTGTTAGGCATCAGCCTAATCAGTAGTTTTAAATAAGGGGGTTAGGGGAGTTAAATAGCTTATTAAGTGCCTCTAGCTTATTTAGTTGTCTATTTAGTCCCTGCGTGGACTTTTGCTATAAATAGAAGCTGGGGTAGCCATAATAGGTAGACTGTTATTTTGATTCTAAGTGTTGCCTGTTGCCTTGTTGCCTGAGTCCGGATTATCCTTGTAGCCTACGGTTTACCTATTACGTCAATACACATCCCTTCCATATCATCTCTATCAGATCTACGTTTCTGTTTACTGTTTATTGCCAGAGTATTGCCAGGTTCTTATCATTGGTATCAGAGCATCACTGCTCCTGGGGATCCGATTGAAGTGTCACTTATCATCGATCGACTACCCTGGAGCTATGGAAGAAGCCTGGACACCAGAAATGGAGGCTCGCTTGGATAAGCTCAAACTGGAGATGAAGACGGCTATGGCCACCCTCGCGACAGCGATGAAGGAACAGATCCATATCAGCATCGCGACTGCGATAGCAGCGATGATGGAACATAATCCGTCCAGGGGGAAATCACGATCACAACTTCATCATCATTCTCGATCATCGCATAGTCCGACGCGGGCCACTACTTCGATTTCATCATCGCGAACCGCATCATCTCCCAGTTCCCCGTCACAGGTTTCTTCTCGGTTTTCTCAGTCGCGAACTCCTTCGCGGACGACAACTGCTCCCAGTTCGCAAGCTTCACCGCGAACAGAGTTCCCTAGTTCGCCATCTCTCGGCGTTCGTCACCAGTCGTCATCGCGAGAAGATCTTCGCAGTTCAGGTTCACCGCTATCAGTTTCGCTGAGTTTGCAGGTTTCATCTCAGCCGCAAACCCCTTCTCCCAGTACGCGAGCATCTTCACTAACAGTATATTCCAGTTCGCCTGCCCCTTTGCAATTCGCATCTCACGGTGCGCAGGTTCCATCAGTCCGACATGAGGGAGTCATTCAGCGGCAACTTCCATCTGAGGTTACATTCATTGATGATGATGGACCAGAGAAGAAATCGTCTGTGGTGAATCCAGCCTTTGATGATAAAATTGCTGGTGCAAATACTGCGGAAGGCTCAGGTACAACTAATTTTACAGACTCTGTTCAGCAGGAAATCCTTAATGTCACTAAACAAATAGATGGATCTCAAGCTACATCTTCCACTGCTTGTATACAAGAAGTTAAGGGCAGAATGACAGATGTGGCATTCACCAATGTCCTAGAAAATGAATTAAAATCAGACACGATACAGATGGTTACCAAAATGCACCAGTCAGTAAACGATATTGCCATATCTCAGAAAGAGGAACCGTTAGGGAACATTGTGAGAACCACTTCTCTGGATTTGGGTGCCTGGACTACCTGTATAAAGGAAATTGAGAAAGCAGATAAGGGAAACATTCTGAAGAAATATGCTGATCACGAGGCATGTATTGGTTCTGGGGATATAGTTGGGAAGGTTCTGGGAATTCCAAATCAACAGTTAGATCGCTACTTTGAAGATTCCAAGGTGTTGGTTGACAGGAGGCCACTATCACAATGGCAAACTGATGAAGAAAAGGAATCTGCTGCTGTTTATGTTAGCTCGGGGACTACCCTTGATGCCAAAATGGTTGCTGAAAATGCTAGGGGAATGACACCAGTTTATATTCTTTTGCTAAATGGAGGTGTAGGTTTTGATAACATGGTTTACACACTTACTAATAGAAGAGGGATGGAGGAGGGTGTTGCTTATGCTGAAAATCAGAATAAGCCTATGGTGGTTGACAGCGTGGTAATAGTCCTGGGGGCCTTGGCGAAGTCAGGGGTGCATCCAGTCATCCACAGAATATTGCAATTGAAGAATCAGTGTTCACTCAATCTGAGGCCAAGCTGGGGATGTTAGTAAGGGGTAAAGTTAATACTGTTGACAGTTTTTATGACATTTTTCAAATTGCAAGTGGCACGAAAGAAAATTTCCAGCCTCGACATATGTCAGAAATTGTAGAAAAACTGGGGAAGAGAAGCTTGGAACCTGGTTTTGAAAATTACCAACTTCTGGTTCTTGATGTGGGTGTTTGCAAATTGGTACTTTCTGCCAAGTACGCACTAATCAGCCCGTCTCAACATTTTCCCTTGGATTTTAGTCAGGCCTTAACTACTGCTTTGGGAGAAAAGGCTGGAAAATATATGGAACATTATCATGAAGTCAGGAAAAGGGTGGAATGGAAACAAGGATTAACAATTCCCGAGTCTCTTTTAAGCGAAGGAAATGATTACACGCAAGCAGACCCATTTTGCAAGCTTTATATGGAAGTTAGGCCTTCATGTTCTTTAGTTATGAGAACAGCTGCAGCGTTGAAAGATGAAGGGGTTGAATGGTCTCTTGAAATTCTGCAAGAAAACCAACTGTGGAAGTCTTACAATGAAGATAGGAATTCATGTTTCATACTTAAGAGAACTACTGAGGGTATGGTGGAACTCCTTGTTTGCGCGCTAAACCCTTTTATGCCTTTCTCTTCAGATGATGTAGGCAAAAAATTGAAAGAGGAAGAAGTTGAAAGGTACAGAGAGAAGCTTGCAGCTAGTACAGAAACATATGGAGATCCTGAAACAAGTAGAGGACTGTTTGAAGGTAGATTTGCACCTGAAGTTCCTCAATATCCTACTCTGGAGGTGTATGCTGTTGCTGCAAGAGCTATGGCCTCTGTTAAAGGGAAGATGATAGAAGAAAATCTCTCAGACTCGGTGCTTCGGTTGTTAGATACTCTGAAATCGGATGGCAGTAACGTTGAGTGTTGTGGAGCTGCAAAGGGCCTGAGCGAATGGATGCATATGTTCAAAGAGAATGGCTATAGCCTGGAGGCGCAAAATGCGGTGCAATTGACAAATCTTAATGTTTTTTATGTGACTTATGACACTGTCAGTATCAATCAAGGAGGTGCAGATGATCTGAAGGAGGCAGTGATCAGAAGGTTTCGAGTCGAGACGGGGAAAAGAGAGCAAATATCACTCCAAAGCAGTTGTGAGGTACTACATATTTGGGTACACCATTTAGTGATGACCGAGGACCCCTATCTGTTAGATCTTGGAGTAATTAAGGTGATTCTGGGAATGGGACCGTTAGCCAATCATGGAAATGTAGAGAAAAATTTCAGGAAACACAACATCAAATGCTTGGGAGAGGGGCCAGAGATGCAGTTGCTGGGAGATTTTAACCTTTGTAACATTGAGGAGCAGTATACAACAAAGTCATTCCTTCTATTCTTTCTTGCTATGCTCTTTCGGGCTATGAAAGGAGTGACCATGAAGGTTGGAATCAGGAAACTATGGGTTCAGAAATCTGTGAGGTATTGGGAAGGAAGAGGTGCAAGAATGAAGTGCAAGTGGAAGATCGATTCCTATCACCCACCTTGAGGGCAAGGTGGTTGTTTAGGGGGGAGTAATGTTAGGCATCAGCCTAATCAGTAGTTTTAAATAAGGGGGTTAGGGGAGTTAAATAGCTTATTAAGTGCCTCTAGCTTATTTAGTTGTCTATTTAGTCCCTGCGTGGACTTTTGCTATAAATAGAAGCTGGGGTAGCCATAATAGGTAGACTGTTATTTTGATTCTAAGTGTTGCCTGTTGCCTTGTTGCCTGAGTCCGGATTATCCTTGTAGCCTACGGTTTACCTATTACGTCAATACACATCCCTTCCATATCATCTCTATCAGATCTACGTTTCTGTTTACTTTTTATTGCCAGAGTATTGCCAGGTTCTTATCAGAGAGGAAGATACCAACGAAAGAAATGAAAAGAGATGAAAAGAAAATGAAGACTAGTGTATGGCGTTGGCCAGCAGAAACAGATGTTTGGTTTCATGAACTTGGCTCGATTTGATGTAACTTTTCTTGGGCATTACCATTTCTGTATCTGGTTTAGATATCATCCATGCTCTCATATTTTCATTTATTAGATAACAAAATTGGTAATAAATGTGAATTTCATTGAGCAAACTATGAAGCAATTGTACTTTGAACCCATGTTTTCTGTTACAGCCTTATGCTCCTAGGTTGAGCCAAACATGTAATACAAGACTAGGAACCATTGATAAGGTAACTCAAATATTGGACATCAAAAACAACCTAAGTGAAACACGTACATACCAAGTGCAATTCGAGAGAACTCCTAAGATCAAAAGACAAAATGAAGAAATCTAGGGAAATATAATATTAGGCGACAAGACTAGAGAAAACCTGTCAATAATCAACAAATAAGCACCAACACCATGCACCTCTTTTCCCTTTTGAAGTTGATTGTGCATAGTCTACAATGAATAAGGACGGAGAAAAACAATGAGTATTATATTTCAGATAATGCAACAAGTATAATACATATTACAACAAATACATAGATGAACCTCAGTTACACAAACTCCTTCAGTTCCACATTCCCTAAAACACTCTAGAGGAAGAGACACACAGTTAGGAAAAATGTATTCAGTGCACAAGTCGGCACTTATTTAATTAATCAAATTTGTCCGGCTTTGTCCACAAAAAATGTGACATCCAATTCTGGTAACTCTATTTTAAATAAGAAAGATGGGTTATTTAAGCAAATTTACACAAAAAGCCCATCAAATAAATAATACGTTTAAACATGTTAATGTTTTGGAACACTGAACACCTAATATTTGGTTCATGGGTGTAAAATAAATATTTGATTCTTTCCAGATTTCGTGAACATCGAGGGTCCATCTGGTACTTGGAAAATACTAGGGAAAGAAAATAGAGAGAAAGCAAAGAAGCAAATGAAAGAAAACGTGTGGGGGGGAATATACCATTGACTAAAAACTGAATATTTTTTTCATTTACTTGTTGATACTTGATAGTCATGTGATTTCGTCTTGTCTATCTATCACATAGAAATTATGAAACCTAAATACATGTCAATGAAATTAAAAAGTAATAATAACCATTTCTCCTTTGCATTTATAAAGTCAAACAAAGCATTAAAGAATAACTTTCATTAACCTTTTCCCCTTTCCCTAGCACTTTTCGTAATAAAAAGTTACCCCAAGCATTTATTTGGAAAGGGAAAAACCTTGAGAAAGAAATAATGGATAAATTTGAAAGGAAATAAAATATTAAAGAAAATAAAACATTGGTTCAAGCTCAATAGATTTATTTTTTATAAATTTGCACACATCTGACCCCCCCCCCTTAAGGCCCTTACCCCTCTATAGGTAGGAGCCTTTACGGCATTGGGGTGATGATGATGATGATGATGATGAATTGTTCTAATACATACTCTCTCCGTCCCAATTTGATAGTCTCATTTCTTTTGGGCACAAAGTTTAATAAAGTGGTTAAAAAGGTAAAAGATATGGTTGAGATTAGAGTAGAAAAAGGTGAAATGATGTGGACCACATATTTCTTTCCAAAGAGGGAAACAGGACCATCATTTTGGGACATCCCAAAAAAGAAATACAGGACTATCATTTTGGGACGGAGGGAGTATATATTTATTTCTATTATAGAAATACTAAGAATTCTAAACATTTGAAAAATAATAATCAAATTACTTATTGCTTGGCATTCTCCTAACTCAAAATAAGAAAATAACTTCTTTTAACATTTTCTATCATTTCGAGGAACCAAAAATAGCCTAAGAAGAGCTGAATTCAGTGAAATGCAAAAAGCCATACTAAAAATACACAGCTAAAACTTGGTGAAAAGCAAGACATAGAAGCAACAACAATAACAACAATATCCAAGCATTATTCCCAAAAGATTTTGGGGTCAGCTAACATGAATCGATACATATCACATGAAACCTGAATAGAAGATGAGTAAATAATAAAAGATACTCTTGAGAGTCCTCGCATGAAACCTGAAGAGAGCAAAGACAAAACTGAGGTTATAATGTTGTAAGAAGGAAACAACTAACCTTAAGTGTAGCCAGAAACTGGATACTATCATAGCAACGGACATACATGAAACGTCTCATGCTTTCTATAACTAAATCATTTTCAGACGTGACATCCGCCCCTCCTTTTAGGCTTTGCATACTCTTTCCTGATAACGTAAAGGCCAAATGTGACTATATGCAACAACATTAAAGCATAACTTTTTATCATCCCCCAGAAAATTGTCCTCAAAAGATTTCTTTCTAACAGTTCAATTTAGTAGGCTTATATAGCACTAGTAGTAATAACACTCTTAAGTCAACTATCGTGAACTGAAAGACACAGCTACAATAAAATAAATGCAGTGATCCACATTCCCCAATCACAGCTTTGTAGGAACTGGGCATAGACATTTACCTATGGCATCTAGTACGCGCTGCTTCAGTGAACGTGAAAGGCTCAAAATATCAAAGCGACAATCCAAGTCGATAAACATGACTGAGCGCTCTAAACCTCCATAATGCACGCCCTTCCATTCCTTGGGCAGAATACAATTGATTGCAGCCTGAAATGCACTTGATCCTATCCGAATAACTCTTGCGCTTGGTTTAATGCAATAGTCTAGTAAGAAGATACACAAATATGGACAGAGTCATTGCCTGTATGAGAATTTGGGTCTTGGCTGAATGCGAAGGGCCGACTATCTCGACAACGCTGCCAGCGCGGAGGGGAATGCGGTGAAAAGGAGGTGTAAGAGGCAAGAAAGGTCGTTCTGTGAGAACCCGAGACAGGTACTGCTTTGCGGTTTCATCCGTTTCAATCCAATCTCTTGCGGACGACATCTTCTCTTTGCTGAATGGTTTCGCAGCAACCAGAGCTTCGCGCTTTCAGGTGCAATTTTTCTCACCACAATGAGAAGTCAATTTTAGATCTAGAAGGTAATTTTTACTCCATATCTATTATGGTTAAGATAGAATCCAACTATATAAAATTGATAAAATTAATATAAAATTGATGAGTCATGTTACTTACACACATTTGTTTACACACGCATATTATATGCGTACAAGTTCTAAATGAATTGTTTATGTCCACATGCAATTAGGACTTGCTACATGCGTACAAGTTCTAAACGATTTGTGTGTGTGCACTTGCAATTAGGACTTATTATATGCGTACAAGTTCTAAACGAAATGTCAATGAACACACGTAACTATGGGTGTACAAATAATGTGGTTTCTTCTGCTCTAAGCATCCTCACTAATGAGCATATTAGTTTATCTAAAACTGAATAGTTTTTTTCAAATATATTACTAATATAAAACGTGTTTACTATAATATGACTAATTAGTACATGTAAACAGGGTAGTATTATAGTCACTTGAGTTTCAAAACCCACAACATTGTTTAACCCCATTTCATGTTGGTACGTATTTACCATAAGGAGGATTTTGGTAACAAGGTGATTGTTTAGTTTTCTTATGAATAACAATCATGCTTATTGACACACATATATTCCATATTTCACACATATGCATCCTGAAAGAAAATTTTGGCCCAACAGATGTTTAAGTCAGGAGTAATATATCAAGACTAAATAACAGAGTTAGTTTTTGGTGAACAAAGAAGTCATGTTTCAAAGAATCAGGACTGGTTCCTCCGGGCCAAGTAATGTTACCAAAAGTCTTTCATAAAATAATATTTCTAGTCTATTCCTTTCATCTACCATTTAATAAACTTGCAAATTTAAAAGATAAGGAAATATGTTAAATCATCTCCCATGTTTTCGTACAAGAGGACTTGAACATTGTAGGAAACCTCTTAAACAACTAGACTAAAGGAATAAACGTAAAAGGTGATCAGTGTATCTATTGCTTCCGCCCTTGTGCCTCCAGTGAATATCATCCCTATAACAACCAAGAATAATACTCCGTAATAAACTTGACAGCCTCATTGGTAACAATCACCTTGTTACCAAAATCCTCCTTATGGTAAATACGTACCAACATGAAATGGGATTAAACAATGTTGTGGGTTTTGAAACTTAAGTGACTATAATACTACCCTGTTTACATGTACTAATTAGTCATATTATAGTAAACACGTTTTATATTAGTAATATATTTGAAAAAACTCTTTAGTTTTAGATAAACTAATATGCTCATTAGTGAGGATGCTTAGAGCAGAAGAAACCACATTATTTGTACACCCATAGTTACGTGTGTACATTGACATTTCGTTTAGAACTTGTACGCATATAATAAGTCCTAATTGCAAGTGCACATAAACAATTCGTTTAGAACTTGTACGCATGTAGTAAGTCCTAATTGCATGAGGACATAAACAATTCATTTAGAACTTGTACGCATATAATCAGGGCCGGTCCTGAGTAACTAGAGGCCCTGTGCAACAACAAGATTTGGGCCTTTTTTCCAAGTTCAAGACAAGTAAATTGCATTAAATTACAAGTTACTAATGAGCTTAATTCTTTCCTTTTAAGCTTCTCGTGATGGGCTGAGTATTTCTTTGGAAACATAATTGGTACCAATTATGTTTTATTCTCTTGTATTCTGTACATTATTATAAATTTTAAGCTAAAACTCATTCTAAATTTTGTATGAAATCATGAAGGACTACAAAAATAAATTAATTAATTATTATCATTTACAAACACAAAGGCTAGAATTACCTAATTACTAACATGCTTACACACTTATACGGTATAACAATTTGTAAATCCTAACAGTTAATTGTTAAACACAGTTATTATCAATTCAATAACTTTTTTTTAAAGAATCAATTCAATTACTTAATAATAATAACTGAAGTAAACAAAAAGCAGATACGGAGTAGCAACAATGCAACAAATTAATTACTAATTTCAGATTTCCAGTAATTTCCAAATTGCAATTAAAAAAAACTGACAATCAAAGATAAATAGATTCTGAGATTCATATGCTTAGTTGCTTACCGGCGGACGAGTGGACATCGCTCGACAGTCGACAAACGTGCGGTCCTGGAGGAGGGTCGCGGCGGCGGGCTGGGGCTGGTGACAAGCGGTTCGGTCGTTGCAGACTTTCAAAGTTTTAGTCGAGACTCGAGCGGCTTCTTCCGGTCTTCCCGTTTTCCGCTGTTCGCTTCTCTCTAATTTCTTCACGCATTTCGTACCTGGCTGGCTTACTACTAGTACTTTTTTTGGGCCTTCCGAAATTATGGGCCTGGGCCTGGACCGGCCCTGCATATAACAAGTGTGTAAACAAATGTGTGTAAGTAACATGACTTATCAATTTTATATTAATTTTATCAATTATCAATTTTATATAGTTGGATTCTATCTTCACCATAATAGATATGGAGTATAAATTACCTTCTCGATCTAAAATTGACTTCTCATTGTGGTGGGAAAAATTGCACCTGAAAGCGCGAAGCTCTGGTTGCTGCGAAACCATTCAGCAAAGAGAAGATGTCGTCCGCAAGAGATTGGATTGAAACGGATGAAACTGCAAAGCAGTACCTGTCTCAGGTTCTCACGGAACGACCTTTCTTGCCTCTTACACCTCCTTTTCACCGCATTCCCCTCCGCGCTGGCAGCGTTGTCGAGATAGTCAGCCCTTCGCCTTCAGCCAAAACCCAGATTCTCATACAGGCAATGACTCTGTCCATATCTGTGTATCTTCTTACTAGACTATTGCATTAATCCAAGCGCGAGAGTTATTCTGATAGGATCAAGTGCATTTCAGGCTGCAATCAATTGTATTCTGCCCAAGGAATGCAAGGGCGTGCATTATGGAGATTTAGAGCGCTCAGTCATGTTTATCGACTTGGATTGTCGCTTTGATATTTTGAGCCTTTCACGTTCTCTGAAGCAGCGCGTACTAGAAGCCAAAGGTAAATGTCTATGCCCAGTTCCTACAAAGCTGTGATTGGGGAATGTGGATCACTGCATTTATTGTAGTTGTGTCTTTCAGTTCACGATAGTTGACTTAAGAGTGTTATTACTACTAATGCTAAATAAGCCTACTAAATTGAACTGTTAGAAAGAAATCTTTTGAGGGCAATTTTCTTGGGGATGATAAAAAGATATGCTTTAATGTGGTTGCATATAGTCACATTTGGCCTTTACGTTATCAGGAAAGAGTATGCAAAGCCTAAAAGGAGGGGCGGATGCCATGTCTGAAAATGATTTAGTTGTAGAAAGCATGAGACGTTTCATGTATGCCCGTTGCTATGATAGTATCCAGTTTCTGGCTACACTTAAGGTTATTTGTTTCCTTCTTACAACATTATAACCTCAGTTTTGTCTTTGCTCTCTTCAGGTTTCATGTGATGACTCTCAAGAGTATCTTTTATTATTTACTCATCTTCTATTCAGGTTTCATGTGATATGTATCGATTCATGTTAGCTGACCCCAAAATCTTTTGGGAATAATGCTTGGATGTTGTTGCTATTGTTGTTGCTTCTATGTCTTGCTTTTCACCAAGTTTTAGCTGTGTAATTTTTAGTATGGCTTTCTGCATTTCACTGAATTCAGCTCTTCTTAGGCTATTTTTGGTTCCTCGAAATGCTATAAAGAGCCCGTTTGGCAACCCAGTTTGTTGGCTTATCAGGCTTATCAGCCAGCTTTTTCACCAAACACGCAATTTTTGCTTTCGCGCGCTGAATTGTGTAATAAGCAGAAAAAGTAAGGTTGGAGTTACTTTTCTGGCTGTATTGGCTGAAGTTACTGTAGATGATTATTTTAGCTATTTTTACATATAATTTTTTCTTTATTTTATTAATAAAATATATTTATAAAATATTTTTTTCTTAAATCAGCAGAATCAGCCAATGCAGCTACTTCAGCCAGAACTTCATAAATTTCAGCAGAATCAGCTAAAACAGCCGATTTTCGTGCTACCAAACGGGCTCAAAATGTTAAAAGAAGTTATTCTCTTATGTTGGGTTAGGAGAATGCCAAGCAATATGTAATTTGATTATTATTTTTCAAATGTTTAGAATTCTTAGTATTTCTATAATAGAAATAAATATATGTGTATTAGAACAATTCATCATCATCATCATCACCCCAATGCCGCAAAGGCTCCTACCTATAGAGGGGTAAGGGGGGTCAGATGTGCGCAATTTTATAAAAAATAAATCTATTGAGCTTGAACCAATGTTTTATTTTCTCTAATATTTTATTTCCTTTCAAATATATCCAATTTTTTCTTTCCCAAGGTTTTTCCGCTTTCCAAATAAATGCTTGGGGTAACTTTATATTACGAAAAGTGCTAGGAAAAGGGGAAAGTTCACATAAAAATTCAAAATTTTTATGTGAAAAGGGGAAAGTGCTAGGAAAGGGGAAAAGTGCTAGGAAAAGGAAAAGGGGAATGTGCTATAAAAATTCAAAATTTTATACTATCTTCCGTTCTTTAATAGTTGCAACAGTTTGACTTTCACGTTTACCAACGAATAACTTTGACCGTAATTATATCTAATTATGTATTAGTAAAAAATATAAAAAAAGGAATTTTGAAAGTTCACATAAATAGAAATTTAATAACATTTTATACATCATAATTTTGGTATATATTTTTACATAAAATCGTGGTCAAAGTAAAGTGTGTGAGTAGTGCAAAAATTCTAATGTTGCAACTTTTAAGAAACGGGGAAGTATCTCCTAAAATAGGTATGAAGCAAAAGTTATAAATTTTGATAGTTTTGTTTAGCCTAAGCTTGGGTTGGGTAGAAAGACATTTGATTGGAGACGTAATTTTGAATTTTGATCTTTCAATTGGACACTATATGATCTTCATTCTAAAAATATTATATACATATATGTAAGTGGTGTCAAACTAAAAACCATATTAAGTTAAATATATATATATATATATATATATATATAGAGAGAGAGAGAGAGAGCTTTCTGTTTGGTAGCGGCTTTTTTACTTTCTGTTTTTTTTCCTTATAATGTGCTTTTTTGTTTAGAAATCTCTTGGGGATAAATCTTTCAATAATAATAGTTTAGAGTGGTCTTTCTATTTTGCTGTGTTAGTGTTTTAAATCTAAAAGTCTAAGTAATTTGTCTGCCTGTTCATAGCTAATTTTGCTGTATTAGTGTTTTAAATCTAAAAAGTCATTCTATTTTTCTAATTTTCATCGTCACTATCATCTATGCCTCTATGATTTGTTTGTACTTTGTAATGGAGATAATAGGCAATATGAATCTTAATTAGAGTTTGGTAACTTTGTTTGAAGTTTTGCATCAAAGTTCTGCAATTAGCTCTATCTATAATAGTTCAAAGCACATATTCTATTTTCTTGTGTTTGTGTTTTAAATCAGCAAAAAAGAGTGCATTCAATTGGAACAACAAAGAAGTAAATTGTTAATATGTGACCTGCGTCGACCAGTAAAGAGTGATTCTAAAAGAAGCTAATATACATACAAATCAAGAGTTGAACATTTAAGCATAAAACAACAAACAGCTTTGTTAGTAATATACGGTTCGTGAATAATACAATAATACGTACGTTCGTGTATAATACGACACAATTATATAAAATACGGCTTAATATATGTTTCATACGTTCGTGAAATATATAAAGATACGGACGCGTTTTAAACGTTTCACAATTTAAAAATACGGCATATAATATGTGTCTTATATACTAATTTAATGATAGAAATAAAAAGTTATTTAGCATTTGAACCACATTCTTCAACAATTTAAAATGTACGGAATAATTTTTTCATATATACGGATTTGAACACATAAGTACAATAAGTAATAAAAATGACATTGCCTATTTGAGTAGAAGTAGAGATATATTATTAGAGAATAGTTGATATTACTGTGACCGTGAGTTTCGTGAGCCGCCACAACATTTTACGATCTCTTTGGAGTCTTGGTATGTGTGGAGAACATTAGTAGTACAATAGTAGTATTGAAAAGGATTACGAATTTAAGAAGCTAATTTATTAAATGTAATGACTATGAAACAATTAACGAACATATAAGGCATAATTTTTTTAAGCAATATAAATAATATTGAGCAGCTAAACATTTCGTTTCAGTTGTATCACTACATTAGGCTTCCGTTTAATGGTGTGTGTTTTTGAATAAAATATGTATCAATACATACAGTATGTGTATTATACATTTTATGCTTAAAGTACGTGAGGTTTCCAGAATTTTCTGAAAAATTCATAAACAAGAGTATTATACGGGAATAAAATACGTATCAATACGTACGGTACGTGTATTATACATTTTATTCTTAAAGTACGCGAATTTTTCCGAATTTTTTGAAAAATTCATAAACGGGAGTATTATACGCGAATTATACGTTTGAGTGTATTATACGCGAATTATACGCGAATAAACTAATAGAACAACAAAGAAGTAAATAGTTCTACTTATACCTATGTATTGTTTGATCCAAAATTATATTTGTATCTCATAATGAGATGGGAACAGAGGTATATGGAGGAAAATATGTGATTGAAACTCTGATTTATTGAACCACACAAGACAGGAGGAGAATAATATAAAAACAAAATGTCAATGTTAACTCATATCTTCGAAAGAGGATGTCCGGTGCACTTTTCCTTTTCTCAATTTCAAAATACAGGGTTTCAAGATAGAGTAGGAACTTCACTTCGACTTTAACTCATATCTTTGACAGTGGACACTCCTTTTCTTCTCTTCTGTTATAGTGTCAAGGAAGATAATTTCAAATTAACTATATATCAATGCATTCCCTAAAAAAGTAGCTAATGAATATACTGCCTATACTTATTAAAGCTGAAGTTGAGTATTTCTTCTTCTTTTTTGCAACCGATGTTTCAAAGATAGTTTTAGGTTTCCTAATTTTATTTTATTTTTGTAATTTTCTTTGTCACTATCATCTATGCCTCTTAATTAGAGTTTGGTAATTAGAGTTTGTACTGGAGGTAATTTTGTGACAACCTCAATTTCTCACAAATGAAAATTTCATGATAAAAAGTAAATAGATAAAACTTTATAATAAAAGAAAAAAAATAATAGTAGTAATATAAGCTAACTTTCAATTCGTAATGCACAAAATTTGTGGAAGTTGACTTAGCTTGCCACATGTAAATTCCTTGGGAAAACTCATAAAAGAACTAAAATAGCTAAACAATTAAATCTAAATAACTAAGTATGCCAC